CGTAGTGCATCAAAAGCTCAGATTAGGCGCTTATTTCGCTTAAATCCATTGAGAATTGAGCGAGATAGAGCCCTATCAAATCTTGTCTTCCGTTTTTACCTTTTCGCCCGTCTCCCCCCCCGCAACCACTTTCTTCCACTCCCCTTCCTTCCAACACTACCGCGCACACTTTTCCTCTTCCCTCTCGCTAACTACTAACTCTCTTCTCAATCTGCTAACACCGCTTGACTCAGCTTGTCTCAAAAACCCAGGTTAGCACCTTCTCCTGCCAAAATTCGTAAAGGAACAAGCATGCTGTGACCTTTCTTCTTTGCCATAGCTTCTAGCTCCACGTTGTTTTCTCCCTCCTTCGAACGCACCTGGCGCAGAACTACGTCCAGGTTCATTCTCCCCTTTTCTTTTTGTTGTTGCTGCCCTCTTCCTCACGTACCAACAAATCTACTCACTAATATCAAGAACTAACCCCATAATCCGACTTGCAGCTACTAAAAACCCCCTTTTAGCATCCTCCCTTGCCCAAATCCACCCACTAACGAGTGAAAAAAGCTCTTCCTCTTCTTTTCGTTTTTGCTTTCTCCATAGCTGCGCGCTGTCTCTGATGCTTGCCCCGATCAATCTTCTAGCTTAACACCAAAACTGACACTCCCATCACATTCGCCTTGCCCCAAAACCCCAAGATCGACGTCTGATTCGCATGATTTCGTTCAGGAGTGAGCGAACTAGATCATTTTCAATTTTCTTCTCCCCCTTTCTTCTCCATCCCCGTCTTTATCTTCATCCTCTTCACTTCCTCCTCATTCTCCCTCCTCGCTGACCCTGCTCCTAACGCAGCCCACCGTTTCTGATTGCTACCAATGGGAGAAACCGCAATCCCTCCATAAAAAAATTGTAGGCGATACTCCCACCTTTTTATACTCTCCTACCCACTCTACTCCAGCCTCGTGGCACTCTATGCCTCTCCTTGTTCTAACAAATCTAGACTACCCCTTAGTCCCCAATCGTGCTGAAGGTTATGTCACAAAAACTGAATGTTTGGACTGAGGGTATATTCGCAAGAGTGTTATATTAACAAAATCTGAATGAATGTGGCGGCCATCACGTCTAGAGCTTAGTACAAAAAAAAAACAAAAAAAACAGGGTCGTAGTGCTTTGCTCCCCTGTTTTCAGCCGATTCCAACTCAGGCCTGTACTTCAGCAGCTCGACATGTACCAACTGAACTAAGCCTATTGATACTCTTGCCAACCCCAGAACCAGCACCTGGGCTGTGTCCCAACCTGGGACAAAAGGGTATATATGTAAAGAACAAATAGAAAAATAATAAAATAGACAATAAAATAAAACAGCCAAACGSGGAGCGGTTTTAYGTGACCAGCGGTACACAGCCTCTGCGCTGGTGCCTGCTGGTCCTCACCCTGCCAGTTACAGTTCACTGTCTCACGGTTCCCTGTAGGTAGGCTCACATTCATACCTCTCATTGCTCGCCGCAGGCTGAGCTTAGCGGGCGGTGCATCCTCTGGCCACAACTGCCCAGGCCTGTTCCACCACGTCGCGGATCCTAAAGGTAAAAGCAGATATTCACATGGGAACTGCCAAAGGCCGACGTGGGGAGTGGTCCTATGTGACCGGCCGCTGCGGCCTGCGGCCCCCCTCCTCCCCGGCATAGTTCACCGTCTTTCTGGTCCCCACGCCACGCTCGTACTGCGACCCCGAACCTGCAAAATATGCGGATTTTGAGGTCGGCTAAATTGAGGTCTTTCACATAGTTTGGATCATACGCTGCACCTTTTCCAGTGGGACGCTGCCCTGGCCGTCTGCAACAAAACAAAACAACCTGGTCCTTTGCTGCCCACACATCACTTCCCTCACAAGGTTCTAAAATATATATATATATATATATATATTTATTTATTTTATTGATGTCCCGAAGGTACATAGAAAAAACCACAATGAGGCTGCATAAAACCAGCTCCACGGTGGGATCGGTATTTCAGCAGTTCAATGGAGTACCCACCGAGTTGGGCTCTTGAGCTCCAGCCGGCCCCATAGACTAGTGCCGCCCCCCGTCCCGAATGGGAAACATAAAAAAAAAAATTATATTAGTAAAATTCTAGAAATAGAAGTTAAAAACACGGATAGGGGAGGAAAATCGTTAGTACTTAGTCTTCAGTCCTACCTCCCGGGCCCGCGGCCGGGTCCCGTCAGCAGAACTAAGGGGAAAGTCCCGTGGGACTCTCAACCCCTCAGTTCACTCCCAAGTACGCTCCTCCGCTGCCCCAAAGCTGGCCGCTGGCCTCGATCCTGGGATCCGCCTGGTGAAAACTCAGTGATGTAACCTATAGGGCTAAGCCCAAGCCTGAACTGGGTGCGGGTTACCCTGTATATGAATTGCATGGTCAACCAGCCTGGGCCTGCAGGTGGTGCCCCAGGCTGTTTCTTGGCCTGTCCTTCAACCCCGTGACCCTGCACACGTGCCGTGCTGGCCTATCCCCTCCACCCTGGCCTTGTGGGGTCGTGCTCTGCTATCTCGAAGGTAGGTGTCGCCCAACTCACAGCGTACGTTGCCTCTACGTGCCATGATTGCGGCATGTGGCCTTCATAGCCTGCCGCAGCCGACTTTCTATCGCCGCCTTGCCGAAAAAACCACGACACTTGTCTCCACTAGACTCCGTTCGCATTGCCTTCCCTCTCACTCCTCCGATGGCTCCGACCTCTGGCTAGTATTCAACATAGCTCTAGTGTTCACACCCTCCTTACTGTGTAGTCTCAAAGGCGCCGTTTTTCAGCGAGTCAACGAAAGCTCACCACCGTAAACCTACTGACCAGCTCCATGCTGACCGTGACTTCGTTGGTGACCGCAGGACTGTGGTCTACGAGGCTTGGTCAAAAAATTCCCACGGATGCCGACGGCTAGTTACTTACGCACGCCCACAAAGTGCATGCTCACACACTCTCTAATCAAGCTATGCCTACGTCTGCCGCGCCCGACTTCCAAGAGTCAGTTGCGGCTGGCCGACCGATATGCCATCTTCTCACGTATCATGTTGATCGCACCTTCTGCGAGGTGCACGAAGCACGCACAATTACCCTTGTAAGGGTAATGGTGCCGACAGTTTTTCGGACGCTATTAAGCGACGTCCCCGTCGCGCCGGTCAGATCAAAGGTTATAAAAAGTTCAAATCACATCTTGCTGACAAGGAAGTTGAGCAATCCGGTTAGCCGACTTGACTCTGTTTGAGGTATTCTATCAGTCCATCCCCGTCACTGTGTTCCACTGCTAGGGTTTCAACATGAGTCTCCCACGTCCTGGCCTCGGACTCTGGGGATACTGTGTTCCGTACTACAGCGTAATGCCCGCTCTCAGGTAGTAGCTTGATAGTCCTCTCTCTTTGCCTTAGACATATGCCGGCTCACAGTTGGGTGTCCTATTTAGTCATCGTCCTGCAAGCAGGGTCATAACACAGGACGCGGGCCCTAACTGAGACCTCTCTCAAATACGGGGCAACTTCAGTCCCCAAATTGGTAAGTACTACTAGTTCAAATATCCACTCATAAGGAACGCCCAACCTGGAATCTAACACAGGCGGCTTCTAGGTCTCCATCCTGGCCCACCGCAGAACGGTTGATCAAACCCAGTCCACACCTACCGCGTTGTTGTATTAGCGGTAGTGCCCTCGTTGGTTGCGCAACGATAAGCAAATCTCTCTTACCTTGGCACCCCGAGGGGTCCCGACTGTTGACCTCATCGACCCCAATGACCTTCCCTCTAGTTAAACCTCTCCAGGCGGCCGACCTATCAGGACTTAACCTTTGGTGAGCCATGGTTCCGCTGCCAGGTTGTGCCGGTCAGCGGCCCTCGTTGGGAGTTAGGTTTTACAGTTCCAGCGATGCTAAGTATAGCCCCTTAGCCAGACCTCACATAATATGTCCCTTAGACTGACTGCTTGTGGTCTGACCTTCTCTTTTCACACAAAATGCACAAAGGATCATATACCAACTGCCCACGGAACGACGTGGAGGGATAGTGCTTTTCTCACAAATCCACAAATAATTCCACAAGGTCGTGCCTTCCTTGCTTTGATCAGGGCAGGCAAGGTCACACGTCTTATAGGGACACCTTTCCAAAAATTTCGCCATAATTGTCAGAATTCCATTCATAATTCTCACAAAATTTCTGGTCTTTCCTTGTCAGACTTTTGCTTGGACACAAGATTTTTCATCATCATCATCATAGCATCTCATCAGAGAGCTCTCTCATAATTCCAGTTATGTACAGGAAGAACTCTATCGGGCATTGAGTTCCTTTCACATTTTGAATCACACATAATGACACAACTCTCAGTTGTGACCTTCCATTCAACAACACTGTTTCATTTGGACTCTCGGTTTCCTCACATGTGATGTGTATTCTCCTTCAACTGTACTTAGTACCTCACCTGTAACAATGACATGTAGTCCTAAGTTCAGAGAAAGGAGAGTGCAGATGAAACCATCATAACAGCATCTCACAAAAGTCACGCATACATGGGCAAGTCCACAATTGATGTGAGCGTAGTATACCACACAAATCTCTATTAAGTCTGAGTCTTATATATACACAAGGAACATGGGGTTTGCAAAATAGGCAAGACCCCTGTCACACTCAAAGAAGAATCAAAGTATAATACAAAGAAGTCAAAAATGTTCTGAACAGGTCAAAGTCCCGAATGTCCAAGTATCGACACACTCTGCACACCACTCACACTGCTCACACAAGTCTCACACATCCTACTCTGAAAGAGAAAGAAAGAAAATGTAACTCACACAAACACGTAATGTACATAGTCTCAAAGAAAGAACAAAAACGATAGTCGAACTCACACTCAAGGTTATCTAATGTACAATCTGTCCTGAAGGTTTATAGTATTGACGGTAACATCTCAATAATGGCCCTCACAACTGATATACATGGGTGTGATCCAATCCTCCATGTGTCCTCCTATATACAATCACCTACCAGTAGAGAGTCAGAGATGTTTTACTCATGCCAGGGTTTAAACATTTCCGGACCCTAATGTCAAATCCTAGTCAATCATCACCTCACCTATCCGTCTGTACAACTGCATCCTACCACCATCTTGAGACTTCTTAACCAAATTACCATTCCTATCCCTCCAAATCCTAGTGGATACTCTGGTAACAAACCCTCTCGCCTCATCCTCATAGAACTTGGGGCAATCATCAGAGAAGTGTTTGCCCTTCTTGCAGTAGAAACACTTCYCAGGCTTCTTCTGTGCCGTCTTCTCTTCTTCCTGCGAGAGTACTGAGGATGAAACTGCCGTAACTTCGCTCGTAACCTCCTGCTGGGGAGTCTCAGATGGAGTGGGGCAGGCTGCTCTCTCCTCTGTCTGTCTCACTGGTCCACTCGCTCGAACTGCTGAACCAGACCCTGTGGCCCATGAGCCCAACGCCTCCTCCAAGCCTACTGCCAAGGGCATATCCTGAGGCGTGGTAGACTCCTGACAAGTYTCCTGGCCTACTCTCTGCTCAGCCTCAACCTCGCTCCCCTGGACCATTTGCCCCTCAGCAACCATCTGATTGACAGGCAGTGCSCCCTCATCTCTCTCCATCTCTGCMTGCTGTGTYACATCCTGTCCCTYGCGAGCCTGCAGGAGTGCCAAGGTGGAAGGCATCTGCCATTCAGACTCCTCACTCTTGGCTTTCTCTTCCACGTGCACCTCCTGAGGCTGTAACATCTCTTTGTCTAACAGTGACACATCTTCTCCTTCCTGTAGATCAGCCTTTTCTTCCTCCTTCTGACTTTTGAAGGCTTCCTCTGCAGGTGGCTTCTTCATTTCAAATCCTTCGACCTCAGTCCAATCCACCAAAGCTGTGGGAGCCCTCTGCTCGAGCTTCGCTTCCAACTCCTTAATTTTCTTCTCCCACTTTACCTCCTTTGCCTCGAAGGAAGCCTGTTGAGCCTGCAGGTAGGCCCTTAGAGCCTCGTTGACCTTGTCGAGGGTCTGGTTCACCTGCCTCATTGCCTCATTGCCAGCCCAAGTCTTTTACAGCTCCACTTTCATTGCGTCCAACTCGCGATCCTGTCTCTCCTGGTTCCCTTTAAGATCCCTAGTCTCCTGCTCCCATTCCACCCTCTGACCATAGGCCTTCTGAGCCACCTTGGTCAACCTCTCTCCAATCTTCTGATCTGATGCTCGTGCGGCTGCAAATCCTTCCTTCATTACTCCCTTCAACGTGAGCAAGTCTGCGAAGACCAACTTCACCCCCATCTCTTGCTGAGGTCCCTCTGGTCCTCTCGCAACTCCCATCAACCTATCAAAGTTCTCCCACGCTTCAGAGAGTAGAGGAGGGTCTTCTTCCTGCTGACTGCTTACATTCTTTCCCTTTCTGTCTTTCAAGTCCACTGGCCGCTCTCCCTGCTCCACTTTCCTGTGGAGTTCCTCCAGGTTCTTCCTCCTGACTTCTGCTCTGATCTCCTGTTCCCTGGCGGCCCTTTCTTGTYTGTCAAATTCCTTCTGTCTKGCAGCCTGGTCCTCATCCACCCTCTGTCCTGTCAGCTCACAGGGTGCCTCTGGTCCTGTTTCTGCCATAGCCTGATCCTCTGGTCTCTGAATAGACTGAGGAGGAGCCTCAGGCACCTCTGACTCCCTCCTCTCCTGAYTCCTCTTAGCCGGCAGYTCCTCTYTTCTCTCCATCTTGTGGGAAGCATGTTCCCTTYTTCTCTCACCCTSCTGAGATCTGGACGAGGCACCTCTCTCAAAAGTCCTCCTGCCTTCAGCCTCAGGCTCCTTCCTTTTCTTTTCCATACTCTTTCTCTCCTCTGCCTGGCGTGCTRGARTGTAATAGCTCCTCAGTAGTCGTCTGCAGTCTCCCCAATGCAACGCTCTCTCCACAACACTCCTGACGAACATCCTGATATACCTCTTCACAAACTGGAGGAATCCTCTCACTCTGGTCTCAGGTACAATGTTCTGCTCGTCCGCAAACCGGTCATAAGCCCACAAGAACTCGTCCAAGCTCGTYCCATCAAATCGGATCGGTACTCCATCTCTCCCCWTGGGCGATGGGTGCAGTCCCTCCATTCTCCTCTCGAACTCCGTCCAGGTCGCTGACTCCCGCACGTACTTGGCAATGGGCTCAGCCCATTCGCCCTCTCCACGTACCTCTCGCAACATCCTCGCTCCATCCCATCCAAACTCGCTCGTGTGCCGTTGGAACTCGGTCAGAAATAGTTCGACGTTCCCTCCTGTGAAGATGGGTGGTCTATCTTCTCTTCTGACCCATGTCTGCACTCTCTGTCTGGCTGTCCCCTGAGGGGGTTCCACTGGCCCTGCCCCCCCTTCCCTCTTGGCATGGCTGCGCCAAAGTGGTGTCAAGCCTGCACAACAAGGAAGAGACAAGCAAAAGCACACAGAGAGTAAGCAGGTTTTGGCAACACAGTGAGAGACATACACATCCCATCCCACCTAACCTATCCATCTGCATATGCATACATACAAACACCTATTCCAATTCTATAGTCTGTCAGACCATCCTAGCGACTATCTATACAACCTAACTAATATCTCTATTAAGCGAAAAATACTTAGCAGGAAAGGACTTCTGGCCTGTGAGATTTGGGCTCACCTCATCTCGAGCAACAAACTTCTTCAGTCTCGAGCCTGACACCCAATCTCTCCAGGCTGTTCCGTCTATCTCCTCAATCTGGTACGCGCCATGCTCTCCAACTCTTGCCACCTTGTACAGTCCCAACCACCGCTTATCCAACTTCTGTGACCATTGTTTCTCCAGGGATGAGTCGTACAACAGCACCATGTCTCCCACCTTGAGTGGCTCCTTCCTCACTCTTGCCATCTTGTCCCACCTGAACTTATCCTGTGCCCGGTTATATGCCACCTTACTCGCAGCTCCTTCAATCCTATCCTCTACGACTCCAATCTGACGCGCCCTTAAATCGAGCAGTTCCTCGAACGTCAACTCTGACTCGAGGTCCTGTCGCCTCCATGTCTTCAGGAAGCTCTCGATAGGGAACGTTGCATGCCTGTCATACCATAGCGTGGCTGACGTATAACCAGTGTTCCTCCTCACGTTGATGTTGTCTACAAAAAAGGTCACTCTCAAAAAATCTGGCTACTGATTTGGCCTCCCACTGGTATATTTTGCCAGAAGGTTCGAGATGGTGTTGTGTCCTCTCTCCACCGGTGCATTTGCTTGAGGGTGTGCTGCAGTAGTATACTCAACAATCACCCCGTACCTCTTCAAGAGTGTTTTTACCTCTGCACTGGTGAATTCAGACCCCCTGTCCATGACAAATATGGAGACAAAGGGGTATCGGAGGTAATATTCCTCGATGCATCGCGCTAGCGTCTCGCCAGTCTTGGTGCGAATAGCCCTTCCGTCCACAAACTCGGAGAGGTTATCGCGTGAATCAAAGATGAAGTTAAATCCCCCTGTCCCCAACGGCATTACTAGCAGGTCCATATGTACGACGACTCCAACCTCACGAACGTATCTTGGGTGAAGCGGCTCCCTTGGCCTAAGGGAAAATAGCTTCTGACGTGGGACGCAAGATTTGCAATAATCATTGATCATTTTCCCCATGCCATCCCAATAGTACAATTCGTGTATCTTGAGATACGTTGTGTCAGTACTCCTGTGCCCTCCAGCTGTGCCGTCGTGCAGGGCGGCCATGACATCGATCTGACGAGCGATGCCACAGACTACCCTTCTGGGATTCCTCCCCTTGCTCTTCATGAATAGGTGCCCATCCCTTACCAGAAAGCTCGGTCTCATCTTCAAGACTTTCTCGCTGGCATCTCTTTCTCTTCTTTCGCACGAAAGAAGCATTCCGAGTTCAAGATAAACCCCATCATACTCTTCTGCTCGAAAAGCCTCCTTAATCTCGCCTTCTTCGAAATCATCGTCCTTCTTCTCATATATCACATTCTCGCCCCTTTCCTGATCCTGCCCAATGTTTCTGGCCACTTCCTCCTGCAACAAGGCATTGGCCAGGAGGTAAGCCCCTCCTACAGATCTTTCATGATCCTCCACCTGCCGGGCTCCATCCTCCATCGTGATCAGGTCCTCACCCAACTGGTGTTTGTTTGCCAAGGCCAGATCCATCATCCACTGCACATCCGGCATCCCCCATGAGTCCTCCTCCACATAGGGTTTAGGGACTAAGTTTGGCAAGCATGCATACCCTGGAGGTGTCAACCACACCGGCCGTCCAGGAGTAATGTAGTTACCTACCGCCAAAGACCAAGAGTTGATGTGAAGTCTCACATCCTCCTCATTCTTCAAAAACCCGTCGACTGGGAGAGTATCCTCGATCACTCCTTCGCTGTTCTTGCCCCAGTTGACTCGACTCAACCCATTCGCCCTATTTTTGTTCCATGGAATCCGCTCCAGCTCAAAATCAAACATCCAGATGTACGTCAACCATCTGGCAATGGTTGGATCTGAGGGAGCGTAGTTCTTCAGCGAATCAGCTAGAGCGGTTGGGTCCACCCTCAACACGAACCTGTTGTCAAAGAGATAGTTTCTGAAAATTCTCAAGCAGTGGAGGACTGTCAAGGTTTCGCGCTTGAACTGAGAGTAGTTTCTCTCAGCCGTATTAATCGTTTAACTCTCGAATCTTAGCGGTCGCTCCTTTCCATTGAGGTCTTTCTGGATCAAAACTCCTCCCAAAGCGGTCGGTCCTGCATCTGTCTCTATGATAAAGGGCCTGGTCATAACAACCGCATGGTCTGGTACGCCCAATACCAGTCCTCCTTCTTCAAACTCCTTCTTCAGATCCTTTATCACAGACTCCTGTCTATCTCCCTACTCCCAATCTTGTCCTTGGCGCACGAGCTTTCGCAGGTGCTCCGTCTTCGTCGCAAACCCTTTTATAAATATTTTCCAAAATCCACACGTTCCGAGGAAGCTTCTCACCTCAGTAATCGTCTCGAATGGGGTTGGTCATTCGAGAATCTTATTGGTGTTCTTAGTATCTGGCCGACGACCCTTCTCATCGCACACAAATCCTAAGATAGTCGCTCCTCGCATACAGTGTTTGGATTTCGGCCCACTTGCAGTGAGGCTATGCTCTTGTAGCAAGTCCAAGACTTGACTCAATTTCTGCACATCATCCCAAACAAACCGCCTGATTCCCGACATTACCCCCTGCTCATCCTTTACCTTCGACCCTTTCACAGCCAAATCATCGATATAGGGCTGCGTGATGTGAGAGCTTACTGGCTGCATCGCTCTCACCATATGCCTCTGGACCATAGCAACCGCGTTTGTCTATCCCTGCGGTGCGACATTCATGTGGATCAACCCTCGTGGGGTATGCATCGTCGTCATCGGCTTGTCAGATGAGTAGACAGGAAACTGGTCATAACCAGAATACAAGTCTATCAGAGATATTATAGCCCTCCCAGCGCATGCCTCTAAAAGCGCATCTGCGTTAGGGAGGTCACCTGCATATCTAACAGTCACAGCATTCAGGCGCTGTAAATCCTGTACCCACCTCAACGTCCCATTTGATTTGATAAAATAAAACCATGGGGATGCATATGGTCCGCCTGAGTAGTCTGCCACGTGTGTGCGGATCTTCTCATCTAGATAGTAAACTACCTTCTCTTCTTCAATAGGATTAGGATAGCGTGCGCCCCATAAATTCCACGGCTCATGCGGCACAGTGTGTATCCTAATCATGAGAATTTTATCCACGTCCAGGCGTCCTCTCTCATCATCATTGAAGGCATATGCAGTATGCCTTCCTCTTATGGTTTCCACCATAAGTTTCTCTTCTTGCACTGTAAGGAAGCCAGACTCCCCTATAATCAACGCMTTCTCAGTCTCCGGATTGATACGACATGRCATGTTCGCAACATCCTCTYGCATTTGCCGTATCAATTCTCTCTCCCRCTCGTAKTACACCTCTTTTTCTTCAGCTACGAGCACCGGAACAGGGCGACACTTTTGATCTACCCTTTTGTACCGCCTTTGTGAACCCTGCTTGAGCCCACCTCTAAAAAAGGTYGAGTTGCAATTTGTGGTAGGGCTCCCACCATTCCGCCGRTCCCTCCTGGTACCCGGTATACCAGTTTCATCTCTCCATCTCCCATTTGTTCCACCACTTTCTCCCTCAAGGCCTCCACGGCCACGGGGTCTGCCATCCCATAGGTCGACACTATGTCCATAGYGKCACCTATGCTCRCCAAGCTAAGGGTCATTGCTTCTGGCCGTCTTTCTTCTTCACTGTCGACTCCCCTTAGCCTTTTTCTCTCTATTTCTGACTCCTCAATTGTGAAAGAGCCAGGGCAGGGTCGATTCCTAATACTCCTTGGTCCTGTTTTCTGGCACGTGACAACCTCATAGTTGCCACACACGGGATCACACATGACCAGGAACATAGTCCCGTCATGCTTATTCAGGATGACGGTCTCTGTTCTGCTAAAAAATGATCGCCCCAGAAGAATAGGGTGATCGAGGTCGGGCATTACGAAGAAGCAACTCCTCACTTTTACCTTCCCGATCTCCAGCACCACCTTGGATGCGGTCCCCACAAAAATGGACCGACTATTTGCTCCTACCAAAATACCATTGTCGGAGCGGTCTATCTCCATCCCCAGGCGCAGGGCATCCTCCTCCTTGATGAGGTTCATTTTTGCGCCTGTGTCCACCATTGCCGTGCATGCTTTCCCCTTTACAACAACATCAAAACACCCACACGCCACGGACTTCCAGTCCATTTTCGTACCGGTCTCCGACCACTCAGCTTCTTTAGGGATTATGGCCCCTAACCGTACGCTAGCCACCATCTTCCTACACAAACGTGCCTCGAGCTCTTCTCGCAGTCTGGGCGCTGATGCCAAGACATCTTTCAAGTTCATGAGGTGGTTATGTCCTTCAAGGATTCGGTCCATAATCTCTTCCACGTCGAATCCTTCCTCCACCCTAACTGTGTACTTCTTCTTTTTCTGCTCTGGGGCCTTTTTTGTATCGGCCTTAACGCCCCCCTTCTTGGCTCTTTGCTCCGCCTTTTCATCCTCCTCGTTCCTTAGGCGGTCATCCTCCTCCTCCTCATTCACGGGAGGTTCTACAACTTTCTTGTCCCCGCTCGACCCGGAAATATCCTTAGTCGGCGGTTCCAGACTCGCTGTCCCTCGAGCTTTCGTCTTGAGCGGCCCTCCCAGATCGTGAAGGCGGCCTAAAACTCATCCCTGATCTGGGAGTCCCCCCTGTGACCGATACATTCGGAATGCTCGCAGGCGCCCCCTGCGATTTTGGGCCTGACCGATACATGAAGACTTGTGGCCTCTGCCCTTGCCACTCCTTAACCTCTTCGCATAAATCTACCAGCTTTCCCTGGTACCTTCGAATTTTATCCATTAAGTCTTCCATATTCTCCATCGTCTGTCGGGCGGTTCTCCAATAGCCTTCACCTGTCTCAACGTGCAACGGCCTGTTCCAATAATCCTTTTCAATCTCATCGTCCGACTCTACTATGATGGGCTCAGTCTTAGTAGTGCCGGTTTTTCGCTTTTGCTCCATCTCTTCGTTCTCTCCCACCTCTTCAACCCTGATGTCACTACGGACCCCTTTCTCCTGCCATATCTGAAACATGGCTGGAGGAGCGGGTGGTTCACTTGCCTCGGCTCGTCGTAGGGCCTCCTTCCTTGTCCCGCCTGGGGCCCTTGGATCAAGGTGGTACCCCCACTTGTCGTACATATCCCCATCATAATTGGTGCTGATTAGGCCTTTGTTTTCATCGTTTCTCCGGACATGGCAGAACTTGATAGTGTGACCTTTCTGCCCGCAGTGCCAACAAATGGCGTTCCTCCAATCTATTCTCCCCCTGCCAGCACCTCTTCCACCTTCCTGGCCACCTTGACTCCTGGATGTTGTCCAACCCTCGCTTCCCCCGCCTGCAGTGTTACCACCACCATCCCCTCTGTCGTTTCCTCCCCGACCACCATTCCCTCGTCCTCGGCCCCACCCTTGATTTTGTCCTCGTCCACCGCCTTGATTGCCTTGCGACCCTTGTGGGGCGGACTGCTGGGGTTGGGTTGGCAGTGGGGATGGATGACTTACTTGTTAAGCTTGGGGTCCTGGGCAGCCACAGGAAGCCGCGCTCATTGACGGTCCGGCACATGATCCATGTGGCCCACTCATGGGCCACGGGGCGTATGAACAGTGTCCATGCCAATGACTCGGAGACCCACAACCTGGCCACGGCCCATAGGGTGCTGATGTAGCTTGATGGGACGACTCGGGGGCATTGCCACAGCCTGCGGGACCTGACCCCTCCCCGAGCCTTGGCCCCCTTGAGCCAAGTTCCTTGCTTTCCTCTAAGCCTTAGTCAGCTTCTGAGGCTCGGTCTCCTCTTCCTCTTCCTCTTCTTCCTCTTCCTGCACTACTGCCTTTTTCGCTTTCCCTACGATCTGTGGCGCTGCCATGGTTTTCCTTTTTGCCTCCTTCTCTGCGTCGAGCTGGGCCACCACGTCCTCTATCATTTTCTAAAAATCACGTCCATCACTCGTGGTGGCATCCAAAGCCTTCCTCTTCTTCCTAGCCTGCCTCATCTGGAAGATATCTACCTGGTCCAGTTCTCCGTCCATACGCCTTCCTTTATGGCAGCCCAAGTGAGCTTCTTTCCTGGCGCAGCCTTCTTAGTTAGCGACGAGCCCTCCCAGTTCTTGAAGTGTCCCAGGAAAGTGGCACACTGCTCCTCTTCTGCCAACCCTAGGACTTTCTTTGCTATTTTCTCAAACGTCGTCACTGTGGAGAACTCGTCCCGTCTCAACATTTCCAGGTCTTCTTTGGTGAGCAGACCGTCACCTAACTTGAAACGTCTCTGCATTTCCTCTTTAAACTTTGCCCACTCACCATTTGCCCCGGCCGCTACCTTCATTACCTCAGGTCTAAGCTCCCACCATACATACCTAGGCATCAACTTGAATTTGTCTGCTTCTGACGCCTCACTAGTGACCTGCTCCAGCAACTCAAGCCACTCGGACACTTTATCCCCGTTGAAGTAAAAAATGTTAACCTTGGGCACCTGAAGCCGTGCCATCTCTCTTTTTTCCAATGCCTTGACGAAGTTCTTTGGTGTAGCACCCGGGCCTCGCTCGATTCTGTCGGCGTCCGCCATCTTTATGTTTTCTCAAACACCGGTTGAGGGAGAAACGGTTTTAACAAAACAATCGGCCATCAAGTCTCTAACTTGCCTACTTTCACCATTCAACTACTATCTTTATTAACTAAAGTAACCTATCAGGTCTATATTATTACTCTGACCCTATCGCTGAAACGGATACACACAATGCACACTTCCGACCTTACTCACAATCAAGGCAGACAAATCTGACGTGTCATTGAGAAAGCCACCATGCTCGAATCATCGTCAAGGAGAAAAATCTTTCCATCAAAGGTTGTCGTTTTGCCTGGATCATAAACCTGCTTTTAACCTGGGTTCGTTCACTGTGGACCCCGGTAGGCAGCCGACATCCCCGGCAACGGCGCCACCTGTCGAGCGCATTGGTCCCGCACGGGGACCCTCCCGGCCGCGTCACGCAGGATTATGCAGGACTTATTGCGGAGAGCGTTTACCGCTCCGGCCGAGTGCACCAGCCGTACCTCTCGCGAGTCCCTACGACATGACAGAGTCACGCGAGGCACCGCTACCTCCACCTGCGGGAGCTGTCACCTTCCGTTAGGTGGGCGTATCCCTGCCGAGCTACTGAACCACATGCGAAAGCTTTTCGTATGCAATTGCAGAGGTGGTCCAGCCGAGGGCGTTTCTCGCTCGCTGTAGCATAGGGGGTACGCGCGGTCAAACGCCCTAAAATTGAACCCGTACACGAATCGCCGTATTGGGGGGCTGAAGTCCCAAATGCCACTCGACGTCGGTCGACTAGGACGCACTACACACCCACGCGTTACACGACAACACTCCCACTTACTCACCCATAACACCTGGAGCCCCACACGAAACACACACCACAAACAACGCCACCACACAACAACTCCTAGTCCCTTCAGTATCTGACCCATAACTATATACGGCAAGACTCAGATAGGTACCGCGCGCTGAACTTCCGTATAAGAGGCGCACGAGTGCATGGCCCCCTCATATCGATCATGCGGGCACATGCAAGCATTTGCGATGATGGGGTACTATGTGGAACTCGTGGCCTCGCRGCCCTTGGTATTCTCGAGGGTCACGTTCGACACTCAAGTGTCGGCTGACAGAYGCTTTGAGGGGTAATCTCTCGAYGCCAGACAACCGCCATGTGCGGTTGAAGACCACWCCCTYTTCTGCACSCTGTGCAGAGGGGTKRAGTAGACAACTTTAGGGYTGTCGTGGTAGCCGAAATCAAGGGGTTTGACTTTGACGAYTACCACGGAYTACAACGTCYAACCATGAAAGTTCAAAAGAGAAACCTATTCCAACTCGCACTGGTCTAGTGGCCTCCTAAAATGGAAGGGGTAGGCASGCCCAAACGACGCGCGCGCGGAGGAGGCCCAAAGTCCTACCCGTAGGCTATCCAATGTCCGGGGTAGTGAGACCCGTACACGGGCTCCCATAGGTCGACTGGGACTGGTCCTTCGCCCATGTGCCGCTTCGTGTTACCACAAACTCGAGTCTATTGACCGTAGCGGGCTCTTGGTCTCGCCGCCTGACCCATAACTTTTAGTACAAGGAATCGGCGAGTGCTGCGCGCAAGGACTTAGGATAAGATCGTGCGGACGCAGTACCCACACATACCAACTCACCATGCAGCTCTACGTGAGTATCTGCGATGACGGCGCATTACGTGGTGTCCATACCCAAGTGGCCTATTCTGAGCCATGGGGTTATTTCCGACGCTCAGGCGTTGGCTGAAACGTGCGCTAGGGGGAGGTAATCCTCTAGCGGGCGCAAACCCGGCTTGAGGGCCTTTCCGTCTTCTGCACCTTGAGGTGTCCCAAGGGGTGCAGAGCAAGACAGCCCCTAGGGCAGGAAGGAATTTGGAGCGGTGGTGAGTTGTCTGGCGCATCACCACCGACACGCTAGTCCTTGCACCCGGAACTTTTATCGTTCCATAAACTAAAGTTAGACAAAGATACAGAAAAGATCGGCATGCGGTCACACAACCGAGTGAGGGCTGTGCGAGCGAGAGCCCAACCACAATATATAAATAAGGGGAAATATCCTTAGTCAAGCAAAGAGTTATGTGATAGTACACTCTCACAATAGCTACGTGGCTTGCCCGCCTGAACTCGAAACAACCAAAACATCATACGTGATTAATATGCTCCGCACATACCTGTGACCACACACAAGGATTAAACAACAACACATACACTAAAGGGGTCAACTTTTCAGCCTTCTGCAGCTCACACCCTGCCTTGTACACAAGCCCAACCTTTTCCCCACCATTCCACAACAAAGATACTCAGCCTTTAAGAAATGGCCATTTATAAAGAATCTGGGTAAAAAACCCAACAAAACAAAGAACCAGCCAGGGCCAAGACCTTAGGTTGAGAAGCAGAAAAGGACGAAAGGTTGAGCCGTATACCGACGAATCGGCAACCGACCTCTTATCAGTGATAACAGAAGAATAGTCAGGCTGACCAAGTCACACCTTCAATCAATACGCACGGCCTGCACCACAGCACAGGTCAAAGAAATTCCACTACAGCGTTTAGCTTAAGTAGGGAGTAATCCTCCTAAGTCACATCCTAACTCCTCTACTAAGCTCCTACTCAGCTTCTGAGAGGTTCAGTAACACCTCCCCTACTCAGGGTTGAGTTGCTAAGATTGGTCTAACTGAGAATATTCCAACTCTCCAAATTTCCCAAAATTTCGGGAGCGCTTCCCGTAGGAATTTTTTTTTTTCCAGAATTTCTAGGAACTTGAATATGACTAACTCTTTTCAGTTTTGCAGAAATTTCGGCAGCGCTTCCCGTATGAAAAGTAGGCTGCCAAGATTTATACAAAGCTGAAAGTCAAAGTGCAAAGCAAAACTATACTTGGGGCCAACTCCTGATCCCTGTTTGACAACTTAGGCTCAATATTGATCGACATGCCCTCTGAATGAGGCCATGAGCCAACGCTGATCCCAACCCCCAGCAGAGGCCGTCCTATCTCATCCCAAACTTCTCTCCCATCATTCATCTTACCTACCTATGGCTCCAACACTCGGCGAGCATCTACAACAACTACTCTATCAAAAGATGTCCCAAGTAAGAGCCCACGAGCATGCAAGCGCAAACATCTCTCACAATCCCACATGGTTCTTTTCCAGGCCACATAGTTCGTTCAAAAACCCTCATTATTCCCTTTTTACCCTTCCTTACATAAGACATAGGGTCAGCCAACCCAACTTATGGATGTGACTAACCTGCCAGTTTATATGACTAGGCCACACCAACTTATGGTGCCCTAGCCTGGTAACACAAATATACGTACGCATAAAGACCAAACCACACCAACTTATGGTGTGACCAGTTTCTGCAAAACAACTGACATAAGGCGTATGATCGGGCCGCACCAACTTATGGTGAGGCTGGTCAGCCTGAACATTCGGCATACACATAGAACTGAACCTCCCAACTTATGGGGGTCAGCCTCTGCCTAACTAACGATAAAAGGCATATGACTGGACACAACAACTTATGTTGTGCCCGACCAGTCCAAACAGTTACATACGGCGTAGAGTCAGGCTACCTAACTTATGGATAGTCCAACCTAGCGTAGACAAAACCACTTGCGCGAACGACCGAACAACCCACAACTTATGCGTTCGCCCAACCCTTCGCAATACGACCATGTTCAACTTTATAGACATAAGGCCTATAACTTACCACATAAACTTATGTTGTGATAAGCCTCTGTCTAAACAAATGACATAAAGCATATAACCAGGGCGCACCAACTCATGGTGAGACCGGATCAACCTTAACACTCTGCATACACAAAAGACTGAACCACCTCAACTTATAAGGGACTCAACCTTTGCCTGAACAACGACAAAAGGCATACGACCAGACACAACAACGTATGTTGTGCCTGGCTAGCCCATACAGTGACATATAGCATATGACTAGGCTACCCAACTTATGGATAGTCTAGCCCTGCCTAAAACAACAACCACCGCGTGTGACCGAACAGCCCGCAACTTATGCGTTAGTCCGGCCCCCGCAACACAACTACATCAGATAAATAAGTTTCACAACCAATTTCTTCCTTGAGACGAGTGGTCAGGTCACCTTAACTCATGAGGATCCCCACCCAGACGCCAGTTATGTTTAGAAAGGGAAAAATATCTAAGCTTTATATAATTCTCTGTTTTGTGTTATCAAGGACATAGGAATGACTACCCAACTTATGGATGAGTCAGCCTGCCCAAAGTTACCACACAATTTTGTACTCTTAATCTTCTTTCCCCTCTGCTTTGTCTGCTACCGG